GGGCCGGTCCATATAATGTGCAGGCCGGGCCGGTCCATATAATGTGCTAAATGTGCAGACTGGGCCGGTCTATATAATGTGCTAAATGTGCAGACCGGGCCAGTCTCAGGCTTTGATGTGGTTTTACAAATCAGAACAAAGAAAACTACAATATAAAATAATATGAACAACCTAAAATTGTGTTAATCTATTGTTGAGGAGGAAGCAGTTCCGACCGGCGAGTTTAAGAGATAAAAAAAAAGCCACGTTAAGCTCAGATGGACAACCTGTCACCGGCCGCGTGCGTACGCTGACCTGCAAGTGTAATGAACTTGCGACCTGTCCAGGTGTCCCCCACCTCTCTCACAGTGATGGCTGGACATGGGCACCAGCGACCCCCCCGCTACCCGAAAAGGAAGAAGCGGTTAAATATAATTGATGGATGGATGAATGGATGAATGGATGGATGGATGGATGGATGGGTCAGCTGATGACTGGCTGCATGCGCGCATCTCTGCGCCTGCTGTTGTTCGCGGTGAAGGAAGTAGCAGCATCTACAAAAGCCAAAGCAAGCAGCGCGTTCATTTAAAATAACTTTGTTCTATATTTTTCCAAATGATTTTGCTTAAACAAAATCTAATCCGCCTCATTACGCATCAGACCCCGCCCATTTCTGTCCAAATCACAGAGATGCCATTGGATTAGTTTTATCTCAGAACCTCGGAGTTCAGCAAAATATAGTAGGTAATTTGTGGGGAATTTTTTCTTTACAAATTACTGACATGACCGATTCGCACGGGATTAACAACAAAGACATTTTCCGTAATTATTACAAATAGCATGTGGTCCCATGGTAAAACTAATCCTGTGCGAATAGGGCTTTATATTATATAGGGACTCTTCTAAGATGTGCTTCCCACTTTTTCACAATACAGCACTACTATTATTAAAAACTATAAAAGACATATGTTGCACCTTTAGGGGGATATGCAAATCAAGCTGCATTCAACTCTGGGCGCAGGAGAGGCGCGCCCCAGAATGGTCCTATCTCTTGTATGGAAGAGGAGCTAAGTGTGCATGTACAACTTTTAACAAGAGTCTATGGGCAAAGATTTTTGCGCACTCGTGCATAAATATATCACCAATCAGACAACATTGATGAACGAAACAACTTTACTCATCATTAACTATAAAATGTTTATCTGACACAACTAAAAATATATACATATATTTTAATATACAAAGTATATATTATTATTTAATTTTTATTTAATTTTTTATGTCTTATTCAAGGTAATGGGGTGAGTGGTGAGTGGAGGGGTGGCACCCTTGTGCCCCCTATTGGCCATCCGCCACTGCTCAGACCTGATCTCAGTGGGTTTCCTGGTCTGACGTGGGTTGCCTGCTTCTGATCTTTGTTCGATACAACATGTGTCTTGAAGGACAGTCGGTGCTGAAGCCCCTAAAGGTGGTTCTATTTCAAACTTCACTCTCGCCTTCAGGCGTGACCAGTCATGGAAGCTCCAGTTCCACCAAGTCTGTCCATGACTGACCAACCACATGCTTGGCATGGAGGCGCCGTCTCGTTTATAAGCGCCCCTCAGCTGGCCTAACCTGGATTATTCATTGAACTTTTGTCATACTCAGCCTTGAGCTTAGTCCCGCATGTGTTTTTCAGGTTTTGGACTTGTTCACTGTCTGGTTTATTTTACGGTGTGGTAGACCACCTTTTAAAATTTGGATCCTTTTCTGTTGTTTTTGTTGCTGCTAGCTTTCAAGGCTAGCTAGCTAAATGGCTACTGCGAGTTCCTCTCAGGGGCAAGACTAAAGACGTTGTGTCCCGACCCGGCCCAGCCTCCTGCAGACTCACCATCTCAAGAAAGGATCCTCATCCCCCCTACATCGTATGCACGGGGTGATCATCCACGCAGGAGGTGCTGGTGGGTCCTAGCTCATGCAACCACTGTCGCTCTATGGCGCCGCAGATTTTACAACAATGCTTGTCAAGTCAACTTTATTTATAAAGCACATTTCAAACAGCAGCTGTTACCAAAGTGCTTAACAACAACACCAATGAGAATAAATTAATGGAAAAAATAACACACACTAATGATAATACTGATAAATTAATTAAAAGTGTTAAAAACATAGGAACACAGAAGAAAAAAACCAGATCAACTCACACTGTGTGAACTGAGAGAACAGATGTGTTTTTAACAGATGTTTGAACACAGGAAGGGAGGTGGTCTGCCTGATGTTGGGGGGCCGGTTGTTCCAGAGTTTGGGGCCCATGACTGACAAAGCCCGGTCTCCTCTGACCTTCAGCCAAAAGCAGCTGATTGGACGATCTCAGGGCCCGAGAGGGAACGTGTGGTTCCAGTAGCTCGGAGAGATGAGGAGGTGGGAGGTCATTTTAAGCACTTATAGGTCAGCAGGAGAATTTTGAAATCTATTCTGGGTTTCAGTGACCCCAACAGGCAACCCCTGTCTCTCTGAGGCGGTCGGGAAACCTTACGGCAAGTCTGGTGGTGAGACAGGCACAGCAGGTGCATGCTGGGAGGGGGGAGGAGGACGGTAGAGTCAGAAAACTGGAGCTGATGAGTAGAGTGGAGACAGGTGGGAGGAGCAGAGGCTGTGGAACAGTACTGACTGGGAGAAAGAGGCTGACGGCACAAAGGAGACGCAGTGAACACACAAAAAACTAATCTAATGAAAACACAGGAAGCAAGAAGACGAACGCGTCAACAACACGAACTGAATAAAACTACACGAACAGGATCCTGACGAGTTGTCACCATGAAATACAAAAATACCTTTAGTTCCTACAAAAGTTAGAATTTCTGAGTTTAAACTTTGCCTTAATATGTTACCTGTAGAGAAAATATGGGATTAGCATTTCATAACATTTGTTTTATTTACATTTTTCACATCACCCTAACTTTATGGAGCTGGAGCGTAAGAACAAAGTTCACATAATAATTAAACGAGTCCGATGGTAAAACTGTAATCAGATCATCTTCACATCTCGAGTTCTACTGCTCCTATCAGTACGTAGTAACAGTACTCGAGTAGATTTCTTATCAGTATGC